CAGGTCTCTCCTTTGCTCACCTGCCTTTCCAGTCTTGAGAAACACGGGCCAAGCCGCCTAGATTTGGCCAGCTTTCCCCCTCTCCCCTTGGCCTTGTCCAATCTCACTTTTTTAAAATCATTTTTTGACTTGCTATTTTCTCTTTAATTTTTATTTAAGTAAGTCCCCCTCCGCCACAAATAAAAACTCAATGGGACTCCATAATACTGGGCTTAAAATGAAAGCTGTCTCTGGCCCCCTTGGCCCCCTTCTTCCTTCTTGCACACAACCATTCTGCTATAGAAAGTGACAAAAGCCAGGTTGGTCTTCCCCAGTTTTCATCTCTATCATTGCTGCCTCTCTTCAGATGCTACCAGGAGGAGCACTTAATTTCCTTGCTGCTGCCTGAGGCTCTCAATATGGTTTTGTGGTTTCCATTCTCCTGGAACTCATAGAGATTCTGTGTTTCTTTTCTGCTCCCTTCCCTGAGCCAGTTCTGCCCATGCTGCTAAGGGGTTCCTGGCTTTGGGCTCCTATTGATTGCTTCTAATTAACTCCTTGGACCAAAGCCTTCAGGTAATAATGTAGCACTCCAGTCCCTGATGTTTTAACTAGAAATTGACTGCTCGCACCATCCTATTTCCTCTCTGAGAACTGCTGCCTCTTTCTCCCTCTCTCTCTCTTTCTCTTTTTCTCTCTCCGCCACCTGAACCAGTGTTTCTACTAATCAGAGTCCTGGGAAGAAGTGAAGTTGCCAACCCAGTGCAAAGCTCCACTCACAGGTGAATGCACCTTGCACGGTGACACCTACATCGCTCAGGAAGCGGGGGTATTACCTGCCTGCTGTGTCAGTCCCACACCCCACCTCTGGAGTTCACTCACAAAAAGACTCAATTCACCCAACCAAGCCCTTCCCTAGCACATGTCAAGGGGGGCCTGCCACTCCAACCAGTCTCGTGCCACCTCACCCACAGTCAACAAACCAACACAGCTCTCCACTGCTTTCTAGCTATGCAAATTTGGCTAAGATATTTCCTTTTTTTTAAAAAAAATTATTTTATGACTTATTTGAGAGGCAGAGAGAGCTCCCAGCTTCTGGGTCACTCCCCGGATGTCCACAATGGCCTCCCAGCCAGGACCAAAACTGGAAGCTGGGAACCCAATTCAGGTCTCTATGGGTGGCAAGAACCCGATCACTGGAGCTATCACTGTGTCTCCAGGAATCCCATCAGCAGGAAGTTGTAGTCAAGAGTGGGAGCTGAGAATTCAAGCACACACTTCATTGTTCCATTTACTAAGACAGAAGCCCACCCCTACTGAGATTTCCGGAGGGTCAGCTTCCTTAACCCTAAAGTGGGGCAACCAGAGGCTGTTGGGATTCCAGTTACTGTGACTGAAGCATCTTCAAATGTTGCCTGGCACACATAAACATGACATGTGGCTCCAGTGAGAGCTGCCATCAGGCGACATCCCAGTAAGATGCAGATGGCTACCTCTGAAGAACCTCCTCACTGCAAGGGGACATGAGTCGCGCCTCCCCCACAATGCACAGCAGAGGAGGAAGGTCGCAGGCAGACAAGGGCGCATCTCCCCCTGCCCCCTGCCCTTCTCTCTAGCTTGTTCCCAAGACAGGACAAACCATGGTCAGGCCTTGATGGTCATTCACTGGGCCCTGTTTCCCAAATGGACAGCTCACTATGTTTTAAAGACAGGCAGCCATGATGGTGCTCCTTCCATGCAGTGCACGGCCCCCTGGCGATCCTGTCACCATCAACCACGTGGCTGTTTAGGAAAGACAGAGGATCCAGAACAGGGCAAGGGAGCAGGTGGCTGTGGGACTTAATCTAATTAAGCCAGTACTCCATTAAGTTTTTCTTCCTCTTCTCTTTCGTAAAGAAGCCTCAGAATAGGGTATTTACCCTTAATAAAATATCTGCTTTGCATTCCATTGTTCTGATTACTCAGATTCTGGGTAGAGAGTCCCAGGGGAAAGAGGTGTAAGTCACAGGATTTGAACACCAAGATCCTATGCAGATTCTGGGCCACAGAGGGCAAAGAAGGTCACACCAAGGTTACGGAGAGTACTGTGAGAGAGTAGCCCTGTCTCATGGCAAGAGTCTGGAGAAGGAGAAAATCAGGGTAGACTCCTTGAAAGAGGTGGCATTTAAGTTAGGACTATAAGGATGAGCCGTATATGCTGAGACAGAGGGAACTCCAAGAATCTCACAACTAGCACAGTTAGCCAGAACAGTAATTGAATGAATGCCTTAGGGGGTGATCAGAGACACCCAATCAGCTAGTGTATAAGCCCTTGGCTTGGGGGTCCGAACAAGCTGTACACTGGAGAAACAGCGCCTGGCCCAGGCAGGTACCAGCCAGTCAGCGCTCACACTGCTTCTGTGAAATCCCATCTCTATGGCTGTGATTGGCTGAATTCTGGTTTCACACACTCAGGCCTTTTGATTACACACCCAATTGCTTGGCAACTTGCGGTCTGAGGAGGCGAGATCCCTCAAGAAGGAAACAAGTGGATACCAACTTGTAGTGACAAAAAGGACAGGAAAAAGGCACGATCTCTGCCTCCTCTTCCTCTGCAGTCCATTGGTGCTCTTCCTAGCACACCAACTACCTTGAATTTGCATCCAGAGGGCCTGCCTGTAGGAGGAGGTGTGGCTTCCTGTCACACCACATTCCTGTGCAGTCTGGGGCACCCCTTTCTCGCCTGGTTCTGCTTGTTTCCCCCGGGAGTCTCAGTTCCCTTGAAGGCAGCATCACTGATGCACATGGCTCCCAAGGAAGTCCGTATGCAGGACCCGTGCGGGGGAATGGTCCGGCCCTAGGACAGCCAGCCAACAGGCACCCCTGCTCATTCCCTGCAGAGGCAGGTAGGAGCTGCAGCTGAAGAGGAGGCAAAACTGTCAAAAAGCAGGGGAAGAATGGAGGTGAAACTTGGGTTGATGTAGGAGATGCCTGTAAGAGGAAGTGGGGTCAGAGAGAAAATTCCAGATCAAGGCATGCTTCCAGATCAATGCTTCACCCAGGGAGCAGGTGCTAACTTTCGTCGAGTTTATAATGTAACCGCCAGGGATGCAGGTGGGTTTTGGGAAGGTTAAGCCAGGTGGTTCTGCATTGATGAGTAGGAGGGGGCAAGAGATAAAGAAGGGAATCCGTAGGCACAGCACACCCTGCAGCCACACACACACACACACACACACACCCCAGCGCAGGCACCTCACATAGATGCCTTCCCTCCTACGTCTCACCGATCCTTCCTACTTCCTGGCTTGACCTGATAAAGTTGGCCTTGATGGCAGCAAGCCTACCCACTGGCCACGTTCCTAAAACTGTCCAGATCAGACAACACTATCCTGTGCTGCTCGTGGGTCCAGGGGCACGTGTGGAATCTGGCCCTGCTCTTCAGCCAGACTGTAATTCACGCTGCCCAAGCTGTCTCACGGGACCAAGCACAGATACGCACTGGGCACTTTCAGAAAGCCGACCAGCTCTGGAATGCTTGCTCCTTTCCAGCGTGGCAGAGTCTGTGCATCCGCTTACGGTTCTCCTACCCTGCTTCCTCCTTCTCCCTGGCCACACAGCAGCTTGGCAGGGCGATCACATCTCCTGGCTCTGTCTTTTAGTGAGGTCACCTAGTTACATGTTTTGCAAAGGAACAGGAGCAGCTGCTATACACGCAAGTAGCCCCAAAGGTGACTGCGTGCTCAGGATTTTTGTTTTGTCCCTTCTTTCAAGCAACCTGGCTTCTACAGCACACACCAGGACCCTACTATGGGGGATGGGGAAGCAACAAGACAGAAGGCACCTGTGCCCAGTCACGTTGGCAGCCTTCAACCAGCCAGACTCACACCTGAGGGAAACATACTTTCATGTAAGCCCCAAATGTTAGGGTCTCTGTGGCAACAGTGAAGCCTCCAGCTAATACCTTCTTCCACTCTATACTCTCCATCTTCGTTAATGTGCTAACTTTAGTTGTCAAACTGGGTGTATTATGGCTCAGGTTCCTTGGTACCTGTCTGTGACCCTAGTCTCCTTTTATGGGACATCTGTGGAATTTCCTTATAACGTAGTCACCAACCTTCTTCCTGTTTCCTCTTTCCCATCTTCTGGAAGGTGAATGTAACATCTGGAGCATCAGCAGTCATTTTGGACCATGAAGCATGCTAAGAAGGTTGATGAGGCAGAAGAACAGAATTCAGGGCCCTTGGTGACCCAGGAGCTTGTATGCCAATTCTGAGACATCAGTGTTTATATTTCTTCACATGAGAGAGGAATATCTATCTTATTGAGGCTACTCACGTTCGTTTCTGGCACAGCCCCAGTCAATCCCCACATATATACGCACTAACACATGTCGACATTTTAAACACCAGCTTTGAGGGGTCTTTTAGCAGGAGAAAAGAAGAGCAGGCGATCCCAGCAGGCAGGAAAATGCCTATTTCCGGTCCCTCACAGCAGCTTCAGTTCAGTTGCTGCGTTCTTTGAGGTAGATCTATGGGGCAGCCCAGCAGGCTCCAAACGACCCTCATACTAGGGAAGCACAACTTGCTTCCCAGGCAAAACGAGTGATGGGAGAGGGATACGAGCCTGCGCTGGTGCTGGGGCAAGTGGCCAGGAACAGGAGGCTAAGAGCTGGGGCTGCTTCCTTTCTCAGTTGGAGTCTCTGCTCCCCACAGCTGCTCAACTCTCACCCACCCCCGGACCGATGGCGGCCTCCTCGCCTACCCACAGCAGCCAAGGTGGAAGCCATATCTGGGGACTGGCGGGCCCCGGGGCACAGCCTTGCCATGAGAGGGGGAGCACCTCCAGTTTTCTGCTTCGGTCGCTCCACTTGGAGAGTGGGCAGCAGGCGCGCACAGCTCCCCGGCCCTCGCTGTAAGGAAGCAGGGGAGGTGCTGAGCATCACGTCCCGCATCCCCGGCCTCGGCCGTGCCATAGCTGCCCCGAGTCTCCGCCGCCCCCAGCCCGGCCCTGACTCCTTCTCCCCTCCTCTCCCGCCGCCTCACCCTCCTCTGACAGGTAGCGCAGGTCGTAGAACTCCCCAGCGAAGGTGCCGTAGGAGGAGTCGTGGCGCGGCACCGTCTCGTCGGCGCCCACGTCTCCGCGCGCGCGGCCTCGGGGTCCCCGGCTCCCTGGGCCCGCACCGTCGTCTGCGGGGCTGGCGGCGCAGGCGGCGGGCCCGGCCAGCAGCAGCAGGAGCAGCGGCGCCCAGACCCCCGGCAGCTGCCGGGGCGGCCGCGCCATCGCTGCGCACCGATCCCGCAGCCCAGGCCGCTGGGGCCGCAGCGGGGGCGCCGCGCGGACTGAGCCGCCGCCGCCAGCGCGCACCCGCGCAACCGCGCAGCCGCCAGCCGCCTCCTGGCCTCGGTCTGCGCATCCTCGCTCCAGCCCCGCAGCCTGCCGTTCCTCCCAGCATCTCCTCCTCCCCGTCTGATTCGTTTTGAAGGCGGCTTGCTAGCATCCATCCTCCCTCCCCAACTCTCCCGCAGGTGCACGTCCTTTTCCGCGAGGACTCTAAGTGCGGTCTGGGACGCGACGGCATCAACATCACCAGGGAACTTAGCAGCATCACTGATCTCAGCCCCGTTCCAAGACCTTAAAGCAAAATTTGCAGTCCACCAGTTCCCCCGGGAATCCCAAGGCATGCTCCAACTTACAAAGGGCTCCTCTGGAGGATGTTTGGTTTACGTAGAGCACTTTTAAAACAATTATTCTTAGGATTACCCCGAAGGAATCTGAAACTGCAAGATCCCACTGTATACTAAAATGGATTTTTTAATGCCAAAATTATCTTTTTTAATTCCACTGAACACACAATTAGCACTTTAATGAATTAATTTAGAAGGCAAGGTGAGAGAGAGCTTCCAGCTGCTGCTTCGCTCTCCAGATGCTTGCAACTGCCAGGGCTGGAATAGGCAAAAGCTGGGAATCTGGAACTCAACCTGGGTCTCCCACATAGGTCGCCAGGGACCCAAGCACTTGACACATCACCTCCTGCCTCTCAGGGCATGCATTAGCAGCAGGTGCAATCAGAAGCAAAGCTGGGACTCAAACCTGAACACTCCGGATATGGGATGTGGGCATCCCAAGCAGCGTCTTAACTACTGTGCCAACCCCAGCCCTCCCCCAATCTTTGGAAGTGTCATCAAAGAAAGGTAAAGTGAGCAGTTCAGGGGCAGCAAGGATATTTGAATTCAGCTCTTGGACTATGTATTTTGCAAAGATCACTGATGCCTGCATACATTCTGCACCCTTCAAACCAGGCACCAGGTTTGCTCTATTTTCCTGCAGCAAGAATGTGTGAGCTCTGAGGCACCCAGGCCAGAGTGGATGGTCATGCTGAATTCTCCACATTCTCAAATTTTCTGGAGTCAAGCTGCTGTTGACTTACTCAGCCATCCATTGACTCACACCAAGTATCTACGCTCTGCCAGTGTCCTGAGGTTCCCTACTGAATTTGGTAGCTGGGGTACTAACATTCAAATCTGTATGCTGTGTCTGTTTTTGGCATGGCCACAATTCCTTTCATGTTGGCTTTTATATTCTTTCCCCTCCTCCCCACTATTTCTTTTGATGACATAAACAAAGAAAAATAATTATGAAGGCAGAGAAGCACAGAGATTTCAAATACAGGCCTAAAAATCAGACTGCCTGGAATGGTGAACAGTAAGAATTAGTAATTTCCCATGATGCAACAAAGATTATGATAATGGAGAAAGGGGTGGGCTTTTGGTGCAGTGGACAATATATCGCTAAGGACTCCAACGTGCCATACTGCATTGCCTGGTTGTGAGTTCTAGCTCTGTTCCCAATTTCAGCTCCTGCTAATGCACACTCTAGGGGGTAGCAGGTGATGGCTCAACCATGTTGGTCCCTGACACTCATGAGGGAGATCCCCATTGAGTCTGCCTCCTGGCTTCAACCTGGCTTAGCCCCAGATGCTGTGGACTTTTAGAAGAGTGAACTGGCAGATGGGAGATCACTGTCCTAACTTTTATACAATGAATTTTTTTTTAAAGATTCTATTTATTTTTATTAGACTGGGCCACTCTAACAGCTGGAGCTGAGCCAATCTGAAGCCAGAAGGCAGGAGCTTCCTCCAGGTCACCCACATGGGTGCAGCGACCCAAGGCTTTGGGCCATCCTCTACTGCTTTCCCAGACCCCAACAAGGCAGTTGGGTGGGAAGTGGAGCAACTGGGACATGAACTGGCACCCATCTTGGATCCTGGCACTTGCAAGATGAGGTTTTAGCCATTGAAACATCATGCTGGGCCCCAAATAAATGAATGTTTAAACAACTTCTCTTCTGTTCACAAGAAAAGGTATGGTCAGTTTTAAGTGGCCCAAAATTTAGCTGGCAAATTGCTCTGATAAAATATCTGCTGTTGTGGCATGGCAAGTTAAGCTACCATGTGCCAGAGTGTTACCCTGAGTCCTGGTTCCTCTGTTTTTCCACCCAGCCTCCTGCTAATACATCTGGGAAGGCAGCAGACGGCCCAAGTGCTTGGCACCCTGCTACCATATGGCAGACCAGGATGGAGGTCCCGGCTCCTAAATTGACCTTAATCTGAATCTGGTTGTTGTGGCCATTTGGAGAATAAGCAGAAAGACATCCTCCTCCTTTCTCTCGGCTTCATTCTTTCAAATAAATGAAAGAATTTTTTTTTTTTTTTAAGTATCAGGATGTTTTTTTCCTTTGGAGGATGAGTTAGGTGAAAGTTTGCAACCATAGACTAAAATGAGGTTTGCAGGTGATCTGAGCGTTTGGACCCAGGGTCCATGAGCCCTGGAAGGTGGCCCAGGTGGTTTTGGGGCAGTGTGAGGCCCCTCATGAATGTGCTGGGATAGCGTTTTGATGTATGGGTTTTCTAGAGAGAAGACTTACCACTTTCATGCCACTTAGGGTCTTTGAATTTTACCGGGGCCTTAGAATTTCCTTAAGTTCTTGATTCCCTGCACCCCTGGCTGCTTCTGTTTCCTGAGATTCTTACTCACTTATGCATACTGCCTTTTGAATTTTTAAAAATTTATTTTTTGAGTTTGCTCCCCATGTTTCAGCCCTGGAAAGAGTGAAAGGAGTCTTATCCTAAGCTTCAGCACATGTTCCCTCCCTGGTTGGTTCTTCCCATGATCACACAGACTCCACGCTTTCCACTGAATAGGCAAGACTACTATGGTTTCCTCTTTTGTGCAACTTCTGGGGAAGTATATTCCTGAATATTCTGACACCACTTGCTGACCAGGAGCCAGCTGTTCCAGTGAGAACCCAGAGACCAACCAGAGTCTGATTTCATTCTTGTTTTTTGAGAGAAAGACAGCACCTTTATTTTCTCTTCTTATCAAAGTCATTTCTCTAAAAACAATTTTTTCATTATAAAAATTCCCCCAAGTCAGTGCATCTCAGTGTCTGACCAGTAACATACCTGCTCATGCTTCTGACTGCCTAGCATATGTAGCTTCTTCCTTTGGATTTCATATGAAATAAAATCTAAGATCTTGGCAGTTCCTCTGAAAGTTAAACATGAAGTTGCCATGTGACCCAGCAAATCTGAGGATTGAAAACATGTTCACACAAAAACGTGTACGTAGACATTTGCAGCAGTATTAGAGTAACTGAAAAGCAGGAGTAAACCCAATGCCCATCACTTGACAAATGGATCAACAAATTATGGCATATTCATACAATGATACACTGCTTGGCCATAAAATGTATGAAGTTCCAATACATGCTACAACATGGATGAATGTGGAAACATTACGTTAAGTGAAAGCAGCCAATCACAAAACAGCGCATATTGCATGATTCCATTTACATGAAATGTTCAGAGTAAGCAAAACCACCCGCAGAAATCCAGACACAAAGGAAATTATTGGTTTCCAGAGGGTGATGGAGGAGTAAGTGGTGGTAACTGGTGTGCAAAACAGTGAGTACACTAGAAATCACGGAATGGTACACTTTTAAGCGATTTACATAGTGAATTTTATTTGAATATTTTCCAAAGCCATGATCTTTGAAAAGGGGGAGCGAAAGATAACAATGATATCAGAATATCCCTGTGCTATTTGGGGAATACGAAATTCTAGGTGCATCCTAGTAGAATCTTGCAAATGCTCTAGGGCTTCATTTTCAAACTCCTTCCACATAAGGGCCTCTTGTGCAGTGTGCAACCCATAAGCCCTGTGGGGTGAACATTACCAGCCCCTTGCAGTAACCCACCTTGCTCACAGGCAGTGTGAGGCCCACAGGCTGCAGCCCCAGCTCCACAATGACAGTGCCAGCGGGCTGACCTCCTTTCCTGCCAGTTGCAAGGTATGTGCTGTGTGAATGTATGTGCTGTTGTTTTGGTGCTTAGTTTATAAGAGGTGAGACAATATTGTACCAATTCATTTTAGTTGCTACAAAAAGACAACTTCATCCTCTCAGGTCACAATGTCAAGTACACTGAAGGAGGCCAACAACTTGGACAACTGCTGAAGCCAGGGGATCCTCTTGATTTTTACTGGTTAGAGGTGAGACACCAAAGGTTCTAGGTTTTCATATGCAGTAACAGCCAGCTTGTCTGTGGTCAGCCGTCCATGACACCCACCTTCCAGAACACATGCGAGCACAGAAGGCAGCGGGGACAAAGCAGGAATGCCCAGTCTCTGGGCACAGCAGCTGAAAAGCCCATGCATCCTTCTTTGGGGGCATCGCAGATTCAACATGTGTGAAACAGCCTCCTGGCTTCGCCCAGAAAGCTGCAGTTGTGCCCTGAAGGCTTCCCCGGAGAGCAAGAGGTGAAGAGGAGAAGTTGCAAAAAGCAGTTGAGAAGAGGAGGAGGGTGTTGGACTGGTAAGTGGTGACAACCTCACACTGTACAGGAACATGTTTTTTGTATCATGTGTGCAATATAGAAAACAGCTAAAGCTGTTTTTTAAAAAGTTCAGCCAGGGGCCACAAGGCAGAAAAGGCCCCCAAACACTACAATTGCCCTAGATAGCTCCATTGATAGTACAGACAACAGTAAAATGCAAAAGAAAACAAAACCCCATCGGTGACACCAACATAATACCCCAAAAAGGCCAAGCCAAAGCCCCACACATCTGGACAGTTCCTGATGACATCACTGCATCCAACCAGGGTATCAGAGGGTTGATGTGTGCAATGATGGCCATGGTTTACCATAAAAAAAAGGCAAACACTCTCTAATGTACTCTGTTTACTAAGGCAGGGGCACATGTGACACATTTTAGAAAGATTTCCTTCCAAAAATATGAAAATTTTAAGGATTCAGCACTTAAAGGCCTACTCCTCAGCAAAGTATTTGCTCACATACCTCATTTTACAACAATGCTAGTAAGTGAGGCATTCCTTTTTTAATATATATTGTTAT